CCGATAGTTATAGATAGATAGATAGATAGATAGATAGATAGATAGATAGATAGATAGATTGATAAACAGGGATAGATAGATAGATAGATTATAAGTAGAAGATAGATAGATTGATAGATAGATAGACTGATAGTGATAGATAGATAGATACATAGATACATAGATAGATAGATAGATAGATAGATAGATAGATAGATAGGATAGACAGATAGATACATTGATAGATAGATCGAGATACATAGACCGATAGTTATAGATAGATAGATAGATAGATAGATAGATAGATAGATAGATAGATAGATAGACAGATAAGCAGGGATAGATAGATGGATGGATGGATAGATAGATTGATTATAGATAGATGAGAGATAGATAGGTAGATAGATAGATCGATAGATAGATAGATAGATAGATTGATAGATGATAGATAGAGTTGATAGATAGATAGGCAGGAAGCCAGGCTGGCAGGTAGGCAGGGATAGATAGACAGACAGACAGACAGATAGATAGGAAGGGGGGTAGATGGATGGATGGATGGATAGATAAATGATAGAAAGATAGATACATAGATAGATCAATCTGTAGTTAGCTTTTAGATAGATGGTGGATAGATAAGATAGATAGATAGATAGATAGATAGAAAGAAAGACAGACAGACAGTAAGACAGGCAGGCAGGTAGGCAGGCAGGGATAGATAGATAGATAGATGATAGAGCTAGAACTACCTACTGATACTCCCAGTATTTAAAGATCCATAGTTTATAAAGTCAATGGATGTATTGAACGTACAAATTTGAACTATCAAAGCTATGTGTGTGGTTTGAGTTTCCCATCAGCCTTCTACCATGCTAGAGAAGTTCATTCCAGCTGTAAATAGTCTCTTACACAAAGATTACACAGTAGTCTTGTGGTTCCCCCCTTAATGAAAACTTATTGTGGCATATGTCCTCATGGTCTAGAGCCTGTTCATTGTAAAAAGCTACATTTACTAAACTGTGCTGTAGAACCAAAGTGAACTCACAAGGCACCATGGATATTTTATATTTCCAAGAAAAGCAGCAATACTCAACATCTGACAGACACTGTCATGTAATTTAAAATATCCCTTGGTATTTCTGGAAGTTTCTTCTGTTAAGGCCATGGTTCTGAAATGGCTCCATGAACCTAGAAAGTTTGAGAACTTCTGGTACAGTGTTATTCTAAGGATAAAAGGAGCATGCATATGTGTATATATATGCACATACAGGCACAAAGACACAACGGTGAAACTAAAAAACTATTGAATGATAAAATGGCCATAGGTTTTTAATGTATGACTTAACCATGATTTTAATAAAAGGGAAACAGTGTGTAATTTTACTGTGGTGGTACATAACAAGCAGATATTGGCTGGCTCTGCCCAACACAGGAAGCTGACATACTAAGTCATAATATGGTTTATTTGCTCAACCAGTCTATGTGTGAACTCAGCCACTCTTGTAGTATTAACTCCATAAAGGCAACTAACTTTTCTAAGTAGGAATCTATTCTAAAAAGGTGCATGGGTGTGTGTGTGTGTGGTCTTCTGAAAATTCTGGCCCTGTCCCCTTTGTGTTACTGTTCCTATTGGTGCAACTCCCTACTGAGGCTTATGGCCAGTGAAAGGTTGTCATTCCTCACACGCATCAACCTTTATGTGATACTTCGACAAACACCCTTTAATAGAATACATTTCCCCATCTACTCATAAAAATGGGGTGGGGTGCCTTTTTAAAAAATGCATATTTCTGTATCACATGCTACATATATGTGTGTGTACGTTTGAGCATAAGGAAAATGCTATATATACATTTTATAATTGCCTGTTAATGAGAAATTTAATATGCCTGTGCATGAGCTGAAAAATAGTATCCACTTTTTAATACAGAAAGCCGGGGTGTGGAAAAATTTGAAAACTACCAGTATATTAAGAAGTATAGTGGATATGCATAAGCACTCAGTTTGAATTGATGTGGAGAATTAAATGTGTACGAATTACTCTAGAAGTTCAGTATTAAATCTTAGTATTCAGCCATTTATGATAGTCCTGGAAAAATAATTATAAAAACAGTGCAATTTTCCCCAGATGAAGAATGCTTTCTCCGACGTACAGATTTCTTACAAATCAGTAGGAATAGCAGTATTTTTGTCAATATGAGTAATGTGCAATTGGCATCTTACTACTGAAGTTGTGCAAAAGCTACATACAGGTAGTCCTTGACTGATTGATTTATTTGTTAAATTTATTTGCCACCTATCTCACTGTGGGGCTACTCTAGGCAACTTACAACAATAAAAAGAAAATAATGAAAAGAGTGTAAACAGAACAGAAGATAAAAGAACAACAAAATAAACAATGAAAAAGAACACAACAAGATTACATCAATATAACCAAAAAAGATGGAGGAGTGGAGAGTAAAAAGCAAGGGGGAGGGGAGGTGGAGTCTGCCATCAATCCAGCATGGAACTCCCCCATTTGGACCCCAGGCCAACCAGCTGAGCCAGGTCTTTAGGCTCTTGCAGAAGGATAGGAGGGTGGGGGCAGATCTAACCCTAGAGGGTAAAATGTTCCAAAGGGCAGGCGCTGCAGCAGAGCAGGCTCTTCTTCTGGATCCTGATAGCCGCAGTTCTTTGACTGGTGGGATCTGAAGTAGGCCCTCTCTGCCAGCGTGAGTCAGATGGGCTTGTCCTAGTGGGACGAGGCGGTTCATCAGGTAAGCCTGGTGATGTGTATAAACTTCCCATCTGATAGGAAAGCCCAGTGAATAAAAAGAACCAGGATAGCACCGAATAGCCTTCAGAATTGCACAGGAAGAAAATGTTAAGAGATTATGTAAACTTCAGAATATGGCTCAGACCACCAAGATGTTTAGATCAAAAGCCAGAGCATCATGCTTCAATGGGACAAATTGATCTAGGCAGGTTTTCCCCATTATTATCCTAGCCCACTTCTGTCCTCCTTTTTCCCATGGCCGCCCCAGTCTCAACAAAATGAACAAAGCTGTGTTTCAGGCATTTGATTTTTGCAAAGAAAGGTGTTTTTTGTCATTTTGTTGTGTACACAGTATACAATGTGAGTTTTACATATTGAGAGAAAAAAACATCTCAGACACTAATAATGAACAATAAAAATATATAGAAACATTCAGTAATACAGAACACAAATCCCATACCTTGAGGCGCAAACAAGATACACAGAAATACACGTTATAAAAAAGGAGGCCTTACAAGATCCAAATACAAGGGTGGGTGGCGGAGGAGGAATGTCTCTTTTTGTCACAGGAAACTGGTGTGTGTGTGTGTGTGTGTTGTGCTTGTCCTTGTTCAACTCAGAGCTAGGTCTGTCCAATTCTGGGTGTTCAAGTTTGGCTACTCTGTCCCTCCAACTGGGAGCAATGGTTTAGCAAGGCTCTCCATGGGATTGGTGGTGCAAGTCTATTGTCCCAAAAAGTGCCAAGGCTTCAGGTCCCTCTAAAATTAACCCTACACTATGAAAGATTCCACTCAAGTCATTCTTCTCATTTCCCCAAACCCATCTTCAGGTGACTCCACTTCCACACACAGCTATCTGTTACAATCCATCACTTCTAAGACCAAACAGCTATCAGTAACCTAGTTTATTAAGGAAAGCTGTTTTTTAAAAAGTCTAAATTGTAAGTTTTAAAATACTCAAAAGAAACCAGGCCACTCTTCTCTTTAAAACCATTCTCTTTGATTAGGGCTCATTCACCAAATTCCCCCACGTACACTCACATACATACTTGCCAACCTCTATTCATCCACAATAAATAAGGGGAGTAAGGGAGAAAATGAGATTCACCAGTATCTGTGTGCATACATTAGGGACACTAACCTAAGTAACCAAACAGGTTTTAACATATTTTCATGCCCTTCAGAAATTTGCTTGAGCTAGTTCTCTATGATGAGATCACTAATTCTGAGGTGGGATTTATTTTCCCACCATCCCTGAAGTACCTTTTCACATCTCCCTCCCCACTACCCAAAATCTGAAAAGTACATTGGGGAAAGTCCTGTAAATCCTGTTGATTTGGGCAGGTGGAAAGAAATCAGGAGTCTTGGAAAAACCAAAGTTATAACAGCAGAAGGAAAATTCAAATGGAGGAATGGTTATTGTTAGTGAGGAAGGAAGAACAAGGTTCTAGAAGAGATGGGCCAGGAATAAAGGATGACTTGATGAGGGAGAAAAATCAAATTTATTTATTTATTCATTCAATTTATATAGCCACCCATCTCAAACAAGTGACTCTGGGTGGTGAATGTGGAAAAGGGAGAAATAGCAATGGAGGAAGAATGAGGTAGACTTTGGCATGGAGATGGGAATCTGACATAGGAAGATCTACATTCAATAAAGGATTGCTTTGGGAGGTCAGTAGAAGATCTGGGGTGAGGAATGATGATAGTTGTCTAAAGCGTATGATTGACATAATTGGGAAGGGGGGGTGCAGACACATGCAAGATAGCGGATAGCTGGATAAGGGGTGGAGAGCCCACCTGAGAACTGAAGAAAGGGTAACTCATCCTCTAGCTCATCAGAGTTTATCATTTCAGTTTAGGGCTGGAGAGGGAGCTTTGTTTAGGAGACAGGATGGGGTAGGACACACAAGGTGTCCCTTCCCACCTCAATAACAATAATAAAAAAAATTAACCTAATGAAAATTTCAGTCAAAACCAAAGAATGTCACAGCTACAGGTGAAAGGAGAGAGAGAGAGAGCAACTCCTGCACATCATGAATTTCAAGTTAGTCAAATACAATATGATACATACTTTTTATGCTATACAGTATATACAACTTCAGGGAGTGGAGAGCAGAATCCTGCCTTGTCAGACACCGTAATATATGGAGAATAGGAAACAATTTTTTAAAAATTCCTCCCTCATAGAAGTGCAGAACTACCATTGGGGAAGGCTTATCTAAAGCCCTTCATACATTCCTCCCATGATCCAAGGGTCGGGTGGGGGTGGAAACTGTGAAATCTGGAGAGGAGAGGAGAATTTCAGGAAGTCTTGCTATAGTCTTGGCAGATTGCTATAAATGTCACAAGGCTCTCCTCTGCCCATTTACTGCTATCTATTTAGAAAATATAGGGAAATGTTCCACATACCCAAATGAGCTAGAATCACCCAATTCAATGTCAATAAAAGCGAACCCTGCAGCAGCAATTGTCTCATGAAAACACAAGGGGAGGGAGGGGAGAGAAAGGGAAGTTTCTCCAGAAAGGGAGAAAATCGGTGCTACCAGGTATGATTGGAAACAACAAGCTTGGCAGTATTCTTGTTGGAAGCAAAAATAGAAGTGATCACCATTTGTGTATGAATGGATGGCTTCCCTTCACTCCAAACATTTATTTGGCAAAGATGGGATTAGAGATGTTGCAGATCAGGGGTCATATTTCCTGATCAGACTATGGATAAAAGGAGCTAGACACTGTATAAAGAGTGGCCAATGCACCATTCCTCCATGCTCAATTCTCAGCTCTCCCTAAGGAGACGTAAAGGTTCTTGATGGAAGAGATGTAGGGTAAAACCTCAGAAGACCCTGGTCCTTCTCTTTTCACCAATCTCACTACTGTCAACTCACTCCATGGTGAGAAATTAAGAAGCCTTTTGGCTCTAAATCACACACCGTCATTTCTCTGACTTTCCAATGGGTTCCCCTATTCTCAACCCCCACCCTGAGCAAGAGGCAAGACTGTTCAATTAGATATTTATATGTTTATATATAAATAATATTTCTCTGTACAGCCAGGGCAAAAGGGAAAGGGGTGTTCCAACCATCCAATTATTTGATGAGAACCCTCCTCAAAATGTCCTGTCTGCCATTGCAAACATCCACCCTCCACCACAACACAGGCTTGTCCCATGTCCTGTTTAAGGAAAAAGAGAAACACCCAAGGAGAAGGGGTGGTGTTGGTGGTGAGCTGAGTCTGGACTTGTTGCCTGTATTAGTACCTCTTTCCTCTTCCCACTTCTTGCTCTGGCTCTGCAGAGGGGCAGGCATTAGGCAGCCCCTCCTGGGGTGTGGTTCTGATGATGGTGTCACACACATTTGCTTTGAGCCTGAGTCAGCAATTTGCTGAAGGAGTCGAACAGTTTCTCCAGCCATGGCTGGTTGCGCATGCACTGCTGCACCACCTCCTCCTGGCCCAAGTCTTCGTTTTGACACTCAATTGCCATTGTCTGGAAAAAAGGAAATGAAAAGGTTGAAATATTAGTCATGAAGCCACACAGGTGGCTCTTTCAAGAAATCCACAAGTAGCCAGAACTGATTAGTCTGTACTTGTGGCCAAAGCTAAAAAATTATCACTAAAAGTCCTGAGATTTTTAAACATGACACCATTCTGTATTTTTAATGAGCTTCAAAAACTGCAGCTTATTTACAACTCTACTTGCACATATTAGTGATGTAGGTGTAGAGGAAGATCTCTTAATTTAAGCAAACCCATATTGTTATTTTTTAGTAATTTGTGTACTTATTTTTGTCTTTTTTTTGTATTTTATTTCATTGCTGTGTGGTGGAATCTCCAGCTAGACTAGAGGGAGAGGTCAAGAGAGCCCCAGGTTTAATGTCGCACTGCCAGACCTCCCCCAGAATCTTTGAAGCCTTATCTTGTTCCCAAGGAAATGTAGTCAGTCTTGCAAGATTCTTGTAACATAGGTGACTAGCAATAAACTACTGTTGAGACTCTTCACCAGTGGTTCTGGTTGCTTCCGCCTGACAGTTGTGAGCCACACAGAGTCAATTACACACGGCTAATAATAACAACAACTGGAGCACCACTTGAACACCATCAGCATTGACAAATTCACCACCAGTCAATTGCAAAAGGCAGCTTTACTTGGAATGGCTTACATCCTGCAACAATATCTGTAACAACATCAAACATCCAGATATGCCTATCCCAGATCCTTGGAAAAAACTCAATAAGTAGACAAATCTACTCTGAACATCTGGCTGACTGTGCAAATAATAATATTAATGATAATGATGATAATAATGATGGTGATGATGTAATGGCTTTTCAGATACAGGTAAGTTGTATTTTTTACATAATGACCAGTGGATTAATTAAGCAACTTGGTCATGTCTAGCTTTGTAATCAGATTATGTGACATTTAATAAAATCATGCAGACTGATTACTAGACAAGACCGAGTTGCTAAATTAATCCACTGGTCATTATGTAAAAAATACAACTTACCTGCATCCGAAAAGTCATGGGAACATAAAGTGGAAAAAGTTGTCGAAAATGAGACGGTAAAGATCTTGTGGGACTTTTGAATACAGACAGATCGTCATTTGGAACACAACATGCCAGGATATCACAGTTGTTGAAAACTGAAGCCTACAATTTATTGATATCGCTGTAACAGGAGATGCTAGAGTCGAAGAAAAAGAACTGGAAAAAATCATGAAATATCACGACATGGCCATCAAAACTACGTGATTATGGATTAAACATGTAACAGTGATACCCGTTGTCATCGGGGCACTTGGTACCATGTCCAAGAATTTTATAAAATAATTGCAACTTCCTGCAATAACATCAGCAGAACTGCAAAAAGCTACTCGGAACATTGTACATTTTAAGAAGATACTTGGTTGATACCTAGGATGCTGGCAGCAATCAGTATCAACCATCAGTGCCAGTCAATAATATCTGTGATACATTTTTAAATGTTCACTTGACTGAGTTTTGTGTTTAATTAATAAAAGAGATGATGATGATGATAATACCCCAGTGAGGCACTATATTGATGTGGTTGTGGCGCTTGTGTGTTCTGAGGAAGATGAGAGCTATGCCAGAGGTTCAACCATACTGGACAGGTCTCTTCAGAGGAGTCAGACAAAGAATGTCTCTCCCATAAAAAATATGGTGAGACGTAAATTTCAGAAAGCCATACCAGCTCAGATGTTGCCCAGATTAACAAGGTCCATGCTCGATGTTGGAGTTCTTAGATGAAAAATGACCTACAGGACTCAGGACTGTTGGCTGAGCAACCAAGGCCAGCAGCTGCAGAACTACTGGAAGAAAAGGTATTTACCAGTTGGGCCGTCGCAAATATACAGTGATTGAAAACAAAGAAATAATGATCTGTTATTACAGATCAAGTCCAACAAGAGGAGGATACTTGAAATGAATGCACCAGTTCTGGGAAGAACAACATCCAGAATCAGAAATAACAGAACAGATGCTAGCAGATCAATGTCGATTTCTGATATGAAATAAAGTATTCACAGAAGCAGAATTGGAAGAACTGCAAAGGTTTACCCAGTGCAATAAAATCAAAGCCTTGCTATGCAGTGGTGGGATTCAAATTATTTTACTACTGGTTCTGTGGGTGTGGCTTGGTGGTCATGTGACTGGGTGGGTGTGGCTGGGTGGTCATGTGAGTGGGTAGGCATGGCCAACACCACATCACTCATGTCAAGGGGCGCCTTGCCTCGCCCCGCATGCCTGGCCTCCTGAGCTCTTCTGGTCTTTGTCTATTAATTTGTCTATTACTACAGTGTCTGGTTGATTATCTAATGCCTGCCTGTCCTTCTGGATCCAGAACTCCCACAGATTCTTAGCTCTATTATTCTCTACAATCTTCTGTGGAAACTCCTTGATGGCTGGCTGGAGAATTCTGAGAGTTAAAGTCCATACATCTTTCAGCTGAGAGACACTGATCTACCCCTTGGGCTCTGTTTAGTGTGGTAAATCCCTGCTTCTATGGATCTGGTGCTTAGTGCTTGTTCTTGTGCTGTTACGATCAGTGATCAGTGCTGCCTTTTACACACACACACCACTTCAGGAATAATTATAAAAATGATGATTTCTCACTCATTTCTTTACTCGTAGTAGAAACAAAATAAGCAGCCATAAATGTCACCCAAAGTTGGAACCCTATATTTGGATTCTGATGCATATTTATTGTTGTGAAACATAACAACTGTTGGTAAGAAAGACAAAAAAAGTCTGAATAGTGGATGTGGCAGTGCCTGGAGACAGCAGAAGAGAAGAGAAAGGAACTATAGAAGACGATAAAATACAAAGACCTACAAATAGAAATAGAATGACTGTGGCAAAGACAAGCAAGGGTAGTATCAACAGTGATAGATGCCTTGTGATAATCCCAAAACAACTGGAACACCACTTGAACACCATTGGAATTGACAAACTCACCATCAGTCAATTGCAAAAGGTGGATTTACTCAGAACAGCTTCCATCCTGCAACGATATCTGTAACACCATCAAACATCCATATCTGCCTATCCCAGGTCCTTGGAAAGGACTCGATAGACAAAAATGCCAAATCCACTCTAAAGATTAGGCTGACTGTGACGAAACATAATAATTGTTGAGGTAATTCCCCGTTAGGAGAATGAGCGCATACAGGGAGACGTATAGAGAGTAGTGTTGGAATAATACACACAGAGCACACAGATACACTGTACAATAAATGTAGGTTTTTACTTCCAGAAAGGTTTAAGCAAAGTCCAAAATAGGCAGTCCAAAGTCATTCACAAGTTAAATCAGTCAGTTTTCAATCCAGGGATAATCCAAATATCAAAGTCCAGTGTCAAAAACAGTTCAGTATCAGACTTACATTAAATCCAGTAATATCAGTCAATTAGAAGAAATGGAGCAACAGAAATACTTTCCAACAGAAGGAAACTAACTCAGACACACTCTCTTCTGAGACTAAGACTAAACAACCCAGGTTTCTGGCTCCATCTTATGGCTGTTTGAGAAACCACACCCAATTGCATGGTCTTGCATTCCCTTAAAGATATAGTACTAAAATGTTTATCCTGGTTTATATATTTCTAACCCAAATAGCTGTTAGGTGACTTATATTCCTAACAATAATAGAAGAAGAACTGGAAAAAATCACAAAATACAGGTAGTCCTCCTTGTTAAGTGAATTTTGCCTCATTTTATGACCTTTCTTGCTACAGTTGTTAAGTGAATCACTGCAGTTAAGTTAGCAATGTGGTTAAGTGAATCTGGCTTCCCCATTGACTTTGCGTGTCAGTAGTGATCACATGACCCCGGGACACTGCAACTATTATAAATATGAGTCAGTTGCCAAGCATCTGAATTTTGATCATGTGACCATGGGGATGCTGCAACAGTTGTGTGAAAAACGGTCAAAAATTAATTTTTTCAGTGCTGTTGTAACTTTGAATGGTCACTAAATGAACTGTTGTAAGTTGAGGACTACCTGTACATGTATCAATTCCAATATCTTTTAACACACTTATCCCAGGTCCTTGGAAAGGATTCAACGGGTGGAGTGATGCAGGTTCAAGTCCACCCTCAGCCACGGAAACTCACACTGGATAACTTTTGGTCATTCACTCTCCCTCAGCAAAACCTACCTCCCAAAGTTGTTGTGAGGAAAAAATGAGAGGAAGTAATCCTATGTATGCTGCCTTGAGCTCCTGAATGAAAGATAGGGTATAAATCGTACAAACAATCCACAAACCCAAATGGGGTTTACTCAGGGCCTTTACTTACCTCATTCTTACAACGCAGAAAGGTGTGGTACTTGTAGTGGTGAAGGGAATGGTAGAGAGTGTAGAAAAGGGACTTCTCTGCTTCCACACTGAATTCCTGTCAGCAATAAGGACAAAGAGTGAAGTGAAACCACTGCATGTTACATTTCTGTACAATTTTACAACAGCCATGAACTTCTAAAGTCTTATATTCAATATTCCCTCAGTGATTAATTAAAAAAAAACATAGGAAGTTTTCACCTGCCCTCATCTTCTCATTTAAGTCTTTGTTAAACTGATTAACAAAGTTAAAACTCTTTCCTTCCTGTAACATAGCCCCATCCCCACCTCAATACCTGGAATTTCAATTAGGGCAATCAATGGGCCTGGTCATGCAGGAGAATGAGGTGCAGGGATGAAGCCACAGAATCAGGTGTTGGATGGACAATGTTGTTTCAGAATGCCAGAGGTGGGGATGAAAGATGCCATTGTAAAGTCCATTTCATAATTTACAAGAGAGATATTTTTTTCTCCAAGTTAAAAAACATAAATGAGCATCCACACTGTGGAATGGAGTATTCAAAAATATGATATGAAAAGATAGATTTTCTTACCCCTCACTTTCATGTCCATCACTAAGATTCCACTCTTAACTTACCTTCTTTTATTCCCCTTTCCTGCCAAAATCTACTACATAGCTTTCCAAAAGTGATTTCCTCCTGAAGGGATAGGCTCGAACTTCCATAACTGCTACATCTGTTGGCTGAGAAATCTATTACTATCATTCTTCCATCTACACTAGTTTACTTCACAAGTCCTGCATTGGTTAAGCCTTTCATCTGCACAGCTGTTGATGGCAAGAGACTTACATTATATCTCTTTTCCTTTCTGTTAGGTATAACATTGATACCAAATATGGTTTGGGTGAATAAATATATAAAACTTAGATATCATGGTTTAAGTGCTTATCACTTTAAGCACAATGCTGCAGGCAATTAGCCGATTAAGGGTGCGGTTAGAAGTTACAATATAAGGAAGCATTAGAAGCTGGAAAGACTACCTGTTAATTTTACTGTTACTGTGACTAACTGTGAATACTGTTTGTACTGTGCCTGTGACCGAGATGATCCTGTCTGCTACTGTTTGCTGATTTACTGCGGAATTCAACTGTTCTACTGTTTGAGCGTCTTGCTGAATATCCAGCGTTTGTTCCTCTGGAGAGAGGCACCGGAGGAGGAGAAGATATCTTTATCGGCTGATAAAGATATTGTAAGGACTCTTAACTTGGACTGTAATAGTGAGTCTTACTGGATGGAAATATAGTGAATGACTAATGGACTGAATGACAATGCTTTAAACTCTAAATGGATTAAAAACTATTTAAACTACAAACAGTGTTTGTGTTCAGTGTGTGTATACTCTGGGGCCCTTCCACTCTCGTTTGGCTGCCTGGCTTGACTACTGCTGCAATACTCTGCTAGGGGTTAATCCCCAAATACTAACACTTTCTTCTGCCCATTTTTATGACAAAGTGCATTTCAAGCCAGTGTAAAAAGCAGGGAGAAAAAAAATTCCAGAGATATTGCTAATAAATAGAAATTTGTAAATCCTAATGGTTTCTTAAGACTATCAAGATCTGAGTATTTTCTTCCCTTAAAGACATACAGGTCCTCACTTAATGACCCTTTGTTCAACAACCATTCAAAGTTATAATAGTGCCAAACCAATGGTAGTAATGGCCAGTCCTTGAGGCTACAGCCGTTGCAGTACCCCTGTGGTCACATGTTAAAAATTTGGGTGCTTGGCAGCCTGCCTGCATTTGTAACTACAGTGTGTGCTTCAACTCCCTTCACCTGCCAATTTCCCCCCCATCTCTGATCTTTTGGATGTCCTGCACTCCACTGCCACCTACTCCTCCTGCCTCCTCCTGCTCTCAGCTGATCTTTGCCTTCTTCCTCCTGCTGCTGATGAGGCATGCCCAGAGGCCTCATAGTCTTGTGGAGGTCTCACAAAGGGCCAGATACTGTTTTGGCTGAGTGCACCTCATTAATAGTGGGAGAAAGAAGACAGCAAAGGTCAGCTGAGGCTGGTGGTGGAGTACAGGGCAGCCAAAAGGCCAGAGATGGGGAGAAAGACACGCGGGTGGGGGGAGTTGGACCAGAGGTGAGTGCGACAGGGCCAGAGAAGTGTGAGGTTCTCACCTAACGTTGGCAACTGAGACTAAAGGAACTACCATCACTAAGTGGTGCGGTCACAGGGGTGGGATTCTACCAGTTCGCACCTATTCGCTAGAACCGGATGTTAACATTCTAAGCAGTTTGGAGAACCGGTTGTTAGAAGAAATAATTGGCCTAATCCTGTAAGGAAGGCAGGAAGGAAACATTCTGGTGTTGCTTACAGAAATTGCCTCTCCATTAACCCTTATTACATTCTTGGCAGGACTAGACTTCCTGTCTCAGGAACTTCTCTGGAGTTTTTTTCCCTCCTTTGCTGGTACTTTGCTTGTGTGGAGTGACCATTCAAAGTTACAATGGCACTGAAAAAAGTGACTTATGACCATTTTTCACACTTACGACTGTTGCAGCATCCCCACAGTCATGAGAGGCCAGGCGAGGAGATGCATGCCTCGATGTGAGTTATATTGAGTTGGCCACACCCAGCCAATAACATGACCACCAAGCCATGTCCACCCAGTCACATGACCACCCAACCACGCCCACCACCTAAGCCACACCCACAGAACCAGTTGTTAAAAAATTTGAATCTCCCACCCCGTGCGGTCACATTATGTTTAGTCTAATGACCATTTTACTTAGTGATGGAAACTCTGGTCCCAATTAGGGTTGTTAAGTGAGGACTATCTGTATTAAATTTTCAAAACTTGAAAATGTAAAATACTTGAAGTTACAGTTTTTAATGCTGGAGGTTTTAAATTCCCAATATCAAATGTTTGTATATTCTATATAGTTAGAATTCCCAAGGGAAAATATTAAAAATGGCATTTGTTTAAGGTATTCCTATTTGTAATACCTCAAATAGTTTAAAGCAGTGTTTTTCAAACTTGGCAACTTCCCAAGATTCTGGCTGGGGAATTATGGGAGTTGACAGTTGCCATGTTTGAAAAACACTGGATTAAAAGATTTGTTTAAATTCCAATTACCCTAGATATTTGGGCATACATGCGCAAATACGCACACACACACAAAATTTTTCTCCTCCACATCCCCCAAACTGGTGTCTGCAGAGATTTAAAACCTCTTTATAAGTATTTTTATGGCTACTAAAAAGTTGCTTAATAATTTTTGAGCCTTAATTGTTAAGGAACACAATTTTATGATCACTATTTTGGACCACAAGAGGGAATGATAGTAAGAGAGGAAAAAGAGGATAAACAACAAGAGGAAGCCACAGGAGAGAGAGATATACAACAAAAAAAGATGAAAGAGAATTAGAGGAAATAGCAAAGAGAGATGGGGCAAAGGCAAAAGAACAGAGAGAAACAAGAGTGACCAGAACAACAAAACCTATTTATAAGTAAAATTATGGAAGAAGAAATAAAATTATTGTCAATTAATATAAATGGACTGAATTTGGCTAAAAAAAATAAAAGGATTTATAGTAAATTAGAAAAATTAAAGTTGGATATAATTTGTTTACAAGAGGTTCATATTAAAAAACAACACAATAAACTATTGGAATATCCCAAAATTGGGAAACTATACACCTCTCTATCACAACACAAGAAGAGAGGAGTAGCTCTTTACATAAAAGAAACAATAAATGCTAAGCAAATATTTATGGATGAAGAAGGGAGCATTTTGATGGTGGAGATAACAATGAATTACAAACAGATACTCCTGGTAGCAATTTATGCACCAAATAGTTGTTCTGACCAAGGCTTCCTGAGACTGTACTTAAGCACACGCTTAATTAAAACAACTCATTTTATTTCAACGCTGGGAATTATTCTAATTCCCAGCCGATAATGAGTCCCAAACAGTCCCTTCGAGATAAGCACCCACCTTTCTTTCCTTTGAATTGCTGCCAACAACTAGAGTGCCAAATGAATTATTAAAAAACAACTGAAGTACAAAGTCCACACAGAGCTTCAAGGATTAATCCGAACAGAACGAACAACTTTGCTTCCTACAAAGGGTTCTTCTCCTTTGCCTGTCCTTTATTACCTTATGGGAGGGGCAATCACCTCCAAGCCTTACTCCCGAGTCGCCCCTTTTGTCTCAGCTGCTCTTGCCTTCTAGCAGCTCTGTGCACATACGCACTGGAAACAGGCTCCCCTTGTTCCTCGGCCTCACTGCTGCCAGACTCCGGAGGCTCCGGAGTCAGCACCCCACTCCCAGATGGTCCTGGCCCCATTTTTGCATCTGATGCAGGACCCTTGTCCGAGTCCTCTCCAGATTCCGTACTGGTCCCCATTTTTCCCCAGTGTTCGATTCCGCTGCCATCTGCACAGGCTGCCGGCGAACCACAACAATAGTAAACAAGAAGACTTTTATAGTAAACTTCATAAGAAAATAGTAGAATTGGAGTATGAAAATATTTGTGTAGTGGGAGATTTCAATGCAATTGTAGATGATAAAACCAGGAAAATGAACAAAAAACCGAGGAAAATGCTTCCAAAGGCTTTTTTAAAAAATGGCTGAAGAATTAGGCATCCAAGATGTATGGTGAGAGATACATCCTAAGGAAAATCAATACTCATTCTATTAAAATAGGCATATGTCTTGGTCAAGAATAGGTAGATGTCAGCTGAAGTGAAATCTAATGTTCAAGACATTGCTGATGCATGCTGGACAATTGAGAAAGCCAAAGAATACCAAAAGGAAGTCGTTATTTTTATTTATATCCCAACTTTATTATTTTTATAAATAATTCAATGTGGCAAACATACCTAATGCTACTTCCTCCTCCTCTGTTCCCTACAACCACCCAGTAAAGTGGGTTGGGCTAGTATGTGTTTCATCAATTATACTGTAAAAAAGCCTTTGACTAAATCGATCATGTCAAGCTGTGGAAAGTGTTCAGAAAAATGAGAATTCCAGAACATCTAATTGTCCTCCTGAAAAACTTACATATATATGTCAGGAAGCCAATGTACAG